AGGGTTAGGTCGGGGGAGAGCATTAGGACAAACACCTAATGCATGTGTGGCTTAAAAACTAGATGAACGGGTTGATAGGTGCAGCAAACCACCATGGCACATATATACCTATGTAACAAACTTGCACGTTCTGCACCTGTATCCTAGAACTTAAAGTAAGATAAAAAAGAAAAAGAAAAAGTTGGGCCAGGAGCAGTGGCTGACGCGTGTAATCCTAGCACTTTGGGAGGGTGAGGTGAGATCACTTGAGGTCAGGAGTTCAAGACCAGCCTGGCCAACATGGTGAAACTCATCTCTACTAAAAATACACAAAGTAGCTGGGCGTGGTGGCACACACCTGTAATCTCAGCTACTCAAGAGGCTGAGGCATGAGGTTGCAGTGAGTCAAGATTGTGCCATTGCACTCCAGCCTAGGTAACAGAGTGAGACTCCGTCTCAAAAAAAAAAAAAAAAAAGAAAGAAAAGAAAAAGTTATTAGGCATGGTGGCTCATGCTTATAATCCCAGCACTTTGGCTTTGGAAGGCCAAGGCAAGAGGGTCGCTTGAGCACAGGAGTTCAAAAACAGCCTGGACAACAAACAAAGCAAGACCCTGTCCCTCAAACAAACGAACAAACAAACAAACAAACAAATAAATAAGAAAATAAATAGCAAGCCACAGATTGAGAGAAAATATTTTCAAAACATATATCTAACAAAGGACTTCTATTCAGAATATATAAAGAACTCTTACAACTCAGGCAAGCAACTCATTTTTTTTTTTTTAATGGGTAAAAGAGTTAACATTTCAAAAATGACAATAGCTGAATGGACAAACACACGAGAAGATGTTCAGCAACACTGGTCATTAAGGAAATACAAATTAAAACCACACTGAGACACCGTAACAAAAACCTCTAGAATGGCTAAATTAACAAAGACTGGCCATTAACAAATAATGGCAAGGATGTGAAGTTAACTGGGATTCTCATGCATTGTTGGAGAGAATGCAAAATGGTACAACCACTGTGTAAAAGATTGGCAGTTTCTTAGAACAGTAACTACACACATGCTATATAGTCCAGCACTTCTACTCCTAGATATTTGTTCAAGAAAAATAAAAGTATATATTACTGTACTGGTACATAATGTTCAGAACATCTTTTTTGTTTTTTGCTTTTTTTCTTTTTTTGAGAAAGAGTCTTCTTGTTCTGCCGCCCAGGCTGGCACAATCTGGGCTAACTGCAACGTCCACCTCACAGGTTCAAGTGATTCTTGTGCCTCAGCCTCTCAGCCTCCCGAGTAGCTGGGATTACAGGTGTGTACCACCACACCTGGCTAATTTCTGTATTTTTAGTAGAGACAGGGTTTCACCATGTTGGCCAGGCTGGTCTTGAAATCCTGACCTCAAGTGATCAACCCAGCCTTGGCCTCCCAAAGTGCTGGCATTACAGGCGTGAGCCACCGCACCTGTCCAAAACAGCTTTATTTTTAAAAGCCAAAACTTGGAGGCAACCCAAATGTCCATCAATATTTGTATGAATGGATAAGTAAACTGTGTTATATCCATACAATCGAATATACCTCAGGGGGGAGAAAAAGGAACAACATGGATGAATTGCAAAACTAACATGTTAAGTGAAAGAAGGCAGACACAACAAAGTACTCACTGTATGATTCCTTTTAGATAATATTCTAGAAAACACAAAACTATAGGGGCAGAAACTTGACCCTGGGTTTGCAGATGGGAGTGTGAATTGACTGTAAACACTCAGGGACAAGCTTTTCAAATATCTGAAAACTTGACTGTACCGGTAAATAACTTTACGAATACAATTTATTCGGTTTATTCAATTGTACACTTAAAATGGCCAAATTTTATGTTATGTGAATTATACCTCAAAAAAGCTATTTAAAAGAGTAGTTCAACTAGTATCTATTCTATTTTTTCCTTTGTGATTTAAATCCTATAAGTGTTTTTTTGTGTGTGGGGGGGTGGTTTTTTATTGTTGTTGTTGTTGTTGTTTGAGATGGAGTCTCACCCTGTCACACAGGCTGGAGTGCAGTGGCGCAATCTCTGCTCACTGCAACCTCTGCCTCCCGGCTTCAAGCAATTCTCCTGCCTCAGCCCTAAAGCTAGATCTGTGAAGGCACAGATTTTTTTTTTTTTCTTGAGACGGAGTCTTGCTCTGTTGCCCAGGATGGAGTGCAGTGGCATTATCTTGGCTCACTGCAACTTCCTCTCCCGGGTTCAAGCGATTCTCCTGCCTCAGCCTCCCGAGTAGCTGGGATTACAGGCATGCAGCCACCATGCCTGTCTACTTTTTGTATTTTTAGTAGAGACGGGGTTTCACCATGTTGGCCAGACTGGTCTTGAACTCTTGATGTCAAGTGATCTGCCCACCTCTGCCTCCCAAAGTGCTGGGATTGCAGGCATGAGCCACCATGCCAGCCGTAATCCTATAGCCGGTTTTATCATTGCATTCATAAATAGGTATGGCATTTTTAAAAGGCTATATGGTTAAGCTATAGATGGAAGAAGAAATCATGATAATTTTATTCTATTAAATCGGGGTGTCCAATCTTTTGGCTTCCCTGCAGCATACTGGAAGAAGAACCGTCTTCGGCCAAGCATAAAATGCACTAACAATAGCTGATGATAAACAAACAAACAAAAATCATAATGTTTTAAGAAAGTTTACGAATTTGTGTCTCCGTCTCAAAGCCATCCTGGGTCACATGTGGGCCACAGGTCGGATAAGCTTGTATCAGATTTTGTTTTACATGGTATGTTTTTACCCAGCCATTTGTTCTTCTTTATAATTTGTTCTAAATTTCAGTCTCATTTTCAATAGGCTTCCTCTCCTCCACCCAAGGCATTTGTTCATCCCCTCTGTTCCTACTCCTCCACTGAACACTCTAGAATTCTGGCTCTACTGTTAAATTCCTCTATCTTTCTCTGTGTCTCCAAACTGTTCCCTGAAGGCTCTCTGTACCTTCTAGTCATTCAATCAAAGAAGCTTTCCCTAGGATACTGCTCGCCCCTGCAGGGAATGAGATCTCCATAGCCCATATACCTTACGAGTCCAGTATTGATGTTGGTGTTTTCTTCATTCATCAAAGTCATTTCTGGACCATGCTTCCTCTACCCCTCTTACAAAAATGCTTGTTCACCTGAGCTCAAATCAACAATATCACCTTCTACCAACTATTTCTCAACTGTCTATCTCTTCAGTCACTTTTCCCTCCTTCATTAAGACTTTACACCCATATCAGTCCTCCTCAACATCTCAAAGCTTGCCATTTAACAGCTTGATCTTTCTCTTCTTTGACCTCATTATCATCAAGCAAGTTCTCTTCCATTCTCATCATTTGTTTAATGTAAATCTTCCTTGTCAGACTAAGGTCCATGAAGATGGGGACCAGAGATGTCTGGTTCACTGCTAACCCCTAAGCAAATAGCATAGTATATACTCTAGTTAAATAAGATTTTTTTTCATCCCCACTAAATACAAAAAATTGAAGCTACTGGCTGGGCACCATGGCTCATGCCTGTAATTTCTGCACTTTGGAAGCCCAAGGCAGGCAGATCACCTAAGGTCAGGAGTTTGAGACCAGCCTGGAAAACATGGTAAAACCCCATCTCTACTAAAAATACAAAAATTAGCAGGGCATGGTGGCGCGTGCCTGTAGTCCCAGCTACTCAGGAGGCTGAGGCAGGACAATCACTTGAACCCGGGAGGCGGAGGCTGCAGTGAGCCGAGATGGTGCCACTACATTCCAGCTTGGGTGACAGAGCAAGACTCCATCTCAAAAAAAAAAAAAAAAAAAAAAAAAAAATTGAAGCTACTAGCAGGCCCACGTTGCTTACAAGAAAAACAACAAAGACAATGAACTATCTGGAAATTGTATCTAAAAAAAATCAAACAAAGGATGTTTTACCCAAGAAAGTATTTGTACTTTGAACAATTAAAGGAAATTAAACTTAATATATAAAAAGGCTGACAATTTTGAAACTTGAGATGAGGAATTGGCTCTGCTACTAATTAGTGGCTTTACTTAGTGTTCTTAGTCCTCTATTTTTACCTCATCTATAAATTTAAAAAGTTGGATCTTCTGAGTTCTAAACATTCTTTTCATTCATGTCGAATGGTGCCCCAGCATGCAAAAAGGAGCCCAATAAGGATGTTATAAGATGGCAACCTGATGAGCCAGACCTGTCACAATCTGAACCAAGTTACCTTATTAAAAAAAAAAAAATCTAAAAAATAATAATAATCTAAGAATACTAAGATCTAGCAGAGCTTCATAAATAATGGTGGGACTAGATCAGGGTTCAGCAAACTATGAACCCTGGGGCAGTCGCTGTTTTTGTAAAGTTTCTTGGAACATAGCCACATTATTCATTTAAGTATTATCTATGGCTGCTTTCTTGCTATTAACAGCAGAGTTCCATAGTTGTGAAAGAGACTACATGGCCCACAGAGCCTAAAATATTTACTATTGGCTGGGTGTGGTGGCTCATGCCTGCCACCCCAGCACTTTGGGAGGCCAAGGTGGAAGGACCACTTGAGCCCAGGAGTTTGACACTAGCCTGGGCAACATAGTGAGACCTAGTCTCTACAAAATAATAATATAAAAATGTAAAAAAAAAAAAAAAAAATTATATATATACACACACACACACACACACACACAAATGTGTATATATATATACATTTGCTATCTGGCATCTTAAGAAAAAGTTTGCTGACCCTAAACGATCTATAAGGTTCATTTAACATTCTTATATGCTGGCGATGAAAAAAAAAACTGCAGTAAAACACTCTTAAATGGAAGACAGCAATAAAAAAGGAATAAGGCATGAAGAGAAAGAACAATTCAAACAAGATCAAAATTCACCTCCCAGTGATAACACTAACTTCTCTTTTTAAGCCAGTGCATGGCTTATCTTCCAGTCACTGAAACCTTCTATTCCAAGAATATACAAGATTAAACAAGCATTAGCGATTTAACACTCACCTGCCTTCCTTAACTTTTTCTGCATTCCCTCGACATATGTAGTTTTCAATGTAACCATCACTGCAGTTGATTTTTGACCAATCTGGATCACAAACATCCAAGAAGTGAGGCCGCAGTCTGCCTATTGAATACTTGGCAATGTCAGTCAGGGACTGACTAGCAGCTGCACCAAATAAAAAGGTTCCAATGGCTTTGTAAATAGTGGCTATGTAGTTATTCCTGATAAAGGAATTTGAGTGCAAAAGGTTACAGTAAACAGACAGGGTTTCTCCAAGAATCATCTGAAAAAGAAACAGAAAAATAACATGTTAAAGTAGCAAGCAGGCACTTTAAACAAAACGAAACATAGTGGGGAAGAAGGAAATGGTAAATCACAAAAAGATCTTTGTTTTAAAAACTGTCCCAGCCCCTTTTTTCTTTACAATAGAGAGTCAACTTCAGATATCCAATTCTAAACCACAAAAAAGGTGTCTTATCAATGGTGAACATTATTCACAAAGCCATGGCTGGGCCAAAAACATATCATTGCTTACCTAAAATAACAAGATCGTATTTTTTTTCTTGTATTCAAATAAACAGAGTTTTAAAAAGTAGAAAGAGATATATCCTGGAGGACAAAAACTATGGCTTGTCCAAAAAACAAACTTCCGGCTGGGCGTGGTGGCTCATGCCTGTAACCCCAGCACTTTGGGAGCCCAAGGCGGGTGGATCACCCGAAGTCAGGAGTTCGAGACCAGCCTGGCCAACATGGTAAACCCTGTCTCTACAAAAATTACAAAAAAACAACCAGGCATCGAAGAAGGTGCCTGTTATCCCAGCTACTTGGGAGGCTAAGGCAAGAGAATCACTTGAACGTGGGAGGCGGAGGTTGCAGCGAGCCGAGATTGTGCCATTGCACTCCAGCTTGGGCAACAAGAGCAAGACTCTATCTCGATAAATACATACATACATACTTCCCCAATCAGAAACTCCTGTGTATAAGTACTTTTACCTGACAGAGTCTTCATTTTGCTCAAATATTCCTTTGAATCAAAGACATCCACCATATTAAAAAGGGTAAAATCATTTCAGGGAGGATTGCTAGAGGATACAGAGGGCAGGGATTTAGCTAACAGGATATACCCGTCCTGCCTTCCAGGTGACCTCTGCTGGAGGCCCAAGGGGTGGGATGAGACTCTTAGTCACTAATTTAAAAGTATAAAAAGGTTTCTGATGCTTTACAAGTTAACAAACCAGTATCCTGAGAATTCAAAGAATACTGAATGGCAACATTATAAATAGTAACATTTGCTATTAAAAAAGACAGTAAGACTCTAGATACCTAAGACCAAAATAAACAGCTAAGGCCAGGCACTGTGGCTCAACTCCTGTAATCCCAGCACTTTGGGAGGCAGAGGCGGGTGAATCATTTGAGGTCAGGAGTTCGAGACCAGCCTGGCCAATACGGTGAAACCCCGTATCTACTAAAAATACCAAAAATTAGCCAGGAGTGGTGGCAGGCGCCTATAATCCCCAGCTACTTGGGAGACTGAGGCGGGAGAATCGCTTGAACCTGGGAGGTGGAGGCTGCAGTGAGCCAAGATGGCGCCACTGCACTCCAGCCTCGGCGCGACACAGCAAGACTCCATCTCAAAAAAATAATAATTAAAAACAACAACAACAAAAACCACTTAAACACAGAATAGTCTGAACAGTGGGTTTGCTAATCTGTGTGGAGAGAATATAAGTAGCAAAGCTTGACTTGAAATACATTACTAGTTTCTCTACTTCACCTTAAATTTATATAAACAATTTTATAAAGTATTCAAACATTTCCATTTAATGAGGATCAACTGTCTTCAGGGTAAGTCTTACCATAAGTAAAATAAATGATTGCTTCCTGAAAGGGATTTCAAGAATCTGATACCTAAAATCCTTTCCTTATTCTGGCTCAATGACTCCTAGAGTTCCATAATTAGAATGTTATAACTTTGACAATGAGACTCTGAACTCTACAAGGTAAGGAGGATTTCTTAATTGCTGAACAGAAACCTCCTATCACCAGAGTGACCTAAACAAAGTAGGTGGTCAATAAATTTTAGTGGAAGGTGCTGCCTTGGGTAAACAGCAAATGCCCTTAGTTTACACGTTAAGCCCCATAAAAATACAGTTCTAATTATAGTCCTTAATGTGAATGAATTAATCAGATTCTTTTCTGAGAACAGGTCACAGGAGAGGAAAACTATACGTACTTCCAGGAATGCCATTCCTATACAATTTTGCTTAGGGTTATCCCTGACTGCCAACAGAAGAGCCCTTTCCATTTCAGTATACATTGCCTCCTTACGCCAGGAAGGGGTCCCAGTATTTCCTCAGAGATTAGTAGCCAGAAAGAACTTATCTAACATTTCATTTTGGAATTAATCTTTGATTCTTGAAAACATATCAAGTATATTAATCAACCACAGTTTTAGCAGTTGAAACTTCCACATCTCAGGTATCAGCTGTTCTTCCACATCTCAGCTATCAGCTGGCACTCGACTATTTTCCAAAAGCAGGTAGTATGTTTTGTGAGTCTTCCTAGTCATAATCATCATAGTTTATGGCCACCCAAATCCTGGCTCTTGCCAGTGATGACAGAAAATGAGTTTGCTAGGAATATTCAGAATACTGGGCACAGATTAAAAGCTGATCTTCAGAAGCAGTATAAGCTGAAACTTAACCATTAATACTGGGAATGCAGGGAAGTCTCTAAAGCCAGCAAATGCTAGGTTAACTTACATCACTGAGAGAAGCAGACAATAGAGGAGTTCTAAATTAATTCTTCTGAATTAAATGCAGAGATGTGTCTGCCCATTTGATCCACACAAGATAGCCATATTGTTTTGTTTCATTTCAATTCCTTATCCTGACCTTTGAGCCATTTATGCCAATTCTTAACCTTTCATGAAGTCAACAGCTAAGCCAAGTGTGGCCTAATCCTAAAACTGAGATTATTTATAATGTATTATTTACTCAGATTCTAGGATATGATAAATTATCAAAGAAATGAAAATAATGTTTGGAGGAGTAAAACAATACTTATGAAGTTCAAAGCTAATAATTATCTAAATCAGAGTGATTCAACCTTTTTAAACCTGTCTCCCATAGTATTCTCTTACCATCCCCTTTAAATCTCCATCAACCAAGATAGTTTTATGTTTCTACACTGTCCCTATGATTTTGTGTCTTTCATTCAGGGCCCATCTTCCCAAAAGAACAGTCTAAAATCAATGGCACATCTCCACATCTTCTTCTCCCTCCTAAGTATCTCTAACCACTTCCATTTCCTTTATTCTACTGATTTTTTCACAAAAGTCAAAATTGTCTCATCCGATCAAACAGATTTTCTTTCTTTTTTTTTCTTTTTTTTTTTGAGATAGAGTCTTGCTCTGTTGCCCAGGCTAGAGTGCAGTGGCACAATCTCGGCTCACTGCAACCTCTGCCTCCCAGGTTCAAGCGATTCTCCTGCTTTAGCCTCCTGTGTAGCTGGGATTACAGATGTCCACCACTGCGCCCAGCTAATTTTTGTCTTTTTAGTAGAGAAGAGGTTTCACTATCTTGACCAGGCTGGTCTTGAACTCCTGACTTTGTGATCCACCCACCTCGGCCTCCCAAAGTGCTGGGACTACAGGAGTGAGCCACCGCACCCAGCCAGATCAAACAGATTTTTATCAACTCTCACTTACTTTAACTTCTCGGTATATTTGACTTCACTGACCACTTCCTCCTTACTGAAATTATCCCATGTCTTCTGAGAAACTATAATAATCCTGGTTCTCTACCGGCCAGGTTCCCTCAATCACTCATTTATTAATGAATCATTTGCAACTCATGTCAAGGCCCTGGTGTGCAATCTTAATCATGGCGATTTTTTTAAATAAATGATTTACTTTCTAGTAAACAAAGTTAAATGTATACAAGTCTAACTGAGCATTGCCTGAAAGAGGCTGAGTTAATGAATAAAATAGAATTATGTTAATTTAGCACATAAGGCTGGGCATGATGGCTTACACCTATAATCCCAGCACTTCGGGATGCTGAGGCAGGAGGGTTGCTTGAACCCATGAGTCTGAGACACAAGCCTGCGCAACACAGAGAGATTGTATCTCTTAAAAAAAAAAAATGTAATTAGCCGGTTGTGGTGGTGCACACCTGTGGTCCCAGCTCCTCAGGTGGCTGAAGCAGGAGGATCACTTAAGCCCAGGAGGTCGAGGCTGCAGTGAGCTCTGATCACACCACTGCACTCCAAGCCTGGGTGACAGAGAAAGACTCTGTCAATCAATTAATCAAAACATACATATATAAAACCACTGCCCTAAGCAGTGTTTGTTTTCAGTGATACTGTAGAGATGAATAACAGTACGTTTAAACAATCTGTTCTTTTTAAAGCAGTCTGTACTCATCTATTAATTTACTTGCCATTTTATTAAATGTAAAGATAACTTTCTCACAGGTTATGTTGAGAGAGTAAAGAATAGGCCGGGCACAGTGGCTCACACCTGTAATCCCAGCACTTTGGGAGGCTGAGGCGGGTGAATCATGAGGTCAGGAGCTCAAGACCATCCTGGCCAACATAGTGAAACCCCATCTTTACTAAAAATACAAAAATCAGCTGGATGTGGTCGCGGGCGCCTGTAATTCCAGCCACTTGGGAGGCTGAAGCAAGAGAATCGCTTGAACCCAGGAGTCAGAGTTTGCAGTGAGCCAAGATTGCGCCACTGCACTCCAGCCCAGGCAACACAGCGAGACTCTGTCTCAAAAAAAGAAAGAAAAGAAAAGAAATAGCAAAGAATTCCAAGTTAATGAAATATAATTCATGAGTTTTTGCTAACTAAGCATTTTGTCAAGCCCTGTATAGGCCGTGCACATCAACACAGCGCCCAGCAATCAGTGGCCTGCTCTACTGCAGCCCTCCAGGCTAGAGCAAATTCCTGTAGTTCTGTTTGCATGGCATCCTTTTTACTGAGACCAAAAAAAAAGGGCAGAATTGAAAGACAAGTCTATTTCTAGCACTGTTTATTTGAATATTTGAATCCTGTCTGAAATTGGCTATTTGCAACTAAAGTCCTACTAAAAATGTCATATTTAATTGCTTAGCAATCACTCAGAAACATATATACTTTTTTGAAAAAGACCCTACTCCCTCCTTAATGGAAGAATTATAGACTTGGCTTTCTTTTAGCAGTAAAAATTCAGTGTAAAAAATTATCTAGATTAAAAGAATACCTGATTTCTTAAAACTTCCCCGTATTTCGGGAGA